ATGAACTCATTAAGAGAGAAATTAGGGAAACAACACCTTTCACAATAGAATCCAAAAAAATGAAAAACACAGGAATCAATCTAATGAAGGAAGTAAAACACCTTTACATGGAAAACTACAGTACTTTGAAAAAGGAGGTCCAAGAGGATATCAGAAAATGGAAAGGTATCCCTTGACCTCGGATAGGAAAAACTATCACAGGGAAGATGGCCATACTTCCAAAATTGTTATACAGATTTAATTCAATGCTAATCAAAACACCATTAGAGAGCCGGGCATGGTGGCACACGCCTGTAATCCCAGCATTCCGGAGGCTGAGGCAGGAGGATCACTGTGAGTTTGAGACCAGCGTGGGCTACATAGCGAGTTCCAGGTCAGTCTCAACTACATAGCGAGACCATGTCTCCAAAAAACAAAGCACCATTAGAGAAATACCAAATAGCATTAGAGATAACAATCCTAAAATTCATTTGGAATCAGAAGAGACCCAGATTAGCAAAAGCAATTCTGGGCAACAATGGCAAGGCAGCGGGCATCACAATCCCTGAGTTGAAATTATACTACAAATATTCTCTGATAAAAGCAGCATGGTGCTAGCAAAAAAAAAAAAAAAAAAAAAAAAAGGACCAAAGGATCAGTGAAAAAGATAACAAGATGCAGAAAGAACTCCAACCATGCTCAGCCAATTTATCTTTGAAAAAGGAGCCAAATACCTTTACTGAAAGACAGACAGTCTCTTTAATAAACTGGAAAAACTGGCTTTCCACATGCTAAAGATTAAAACCAGACCCATATCTTTTACTATGCACTAAACTAAAATTGAAATGGATCAAACATCTAAATATTAAAATAGAAACACTAAATCTGCTGGAAGACAGAATAGGTAGAATTCTTGAAGACACTGGTATAGGCAGACTATGAACAAAACCCCAACTACACAGGAAATACGACAAAGAATCAACAACCGGGATCACATCTTACTAAAAAGATTTTGAGGGCTGAGGATGTAGCTCAGTGGCATGGCACCTGCCTGGCAAGCCCAAGGTCCTGAGTTTTATCCCGGGGGTGTGTGGGTGGGGATCTCTGTACACCAAAAGAAATCACCAACAGAGCAAAGAGAAAACCCACAGTGTGGGAAAATTTTTTTTTTTTTTGTACCGGAGGCAGCACCACTGAGCCAAATCCCCAGTCTGTGGGAAAAACTTTTGCTAGCTGTTCCTCAAACAAAGGACTAATATCTAGAATATATAAAGAACTCAAAAAAATCAGACCCCCCCCTAAATTTAAAGACCCAATCCAAAAATGGGTATCTGAAGGGAACAGACACTTCTTAGATGAAGAAATACAAATAGCAAATAAATATGTGAAAAACGTTCAATATCACTGGTCATTCGAGAGATGCAAATTCAAACAATGCTGAGATTCCATCTCCCTCTAGAAAGAATGGCTGTTATCAAAAAATCAACCAACCTGCCTCGCAAGCGCAAGGTCCTGAGTTAAAAAAAAAAAAAAAAAAAAAAAAAAAAAAGTCAACCAAAAACAAATGCTGGCGGGGCTGTGGGAAAAAATGAATCCTTCTCCACTATTGGTGGGAGCGTAGACTGGTGCAACCACCATGGAGATCAATTTAGAGATTCCTCAAAAAACTAAAACTAGAGGTTCCATTTGACGCAGGTACTCCCCTTCTTGGTATCTTCCCCAAAGAATTAAAAACATCTTACCACAGCGATATATGCACACTCATGTTTACAGCACACAAGATAGCTAAATCTTGGAGAGAGCCTAAACACTCATCAACTAATGAATGGATAAAGATGTGGTACAATGGAGTACTACTCCACCATAAAGAAGGACAGACTCAGGGACCAGAGATTTGGCTCAGTTGGTTCTGTCACCTGCCTCGCAAACGCAAGGGCCTGGGTTCAGTCCCTAGTACTGAACAAACAAACCAAAAAACCAATTACTAATACAAGAAGGATAGGCTTGAGACACATTGCAAGCTAAATGGATGTACCTTGAGATCATATACTTAAGTGAAATAAATCAAACCCAAGTTTAAATACTGAACTGTTTCTCTGGTGTGAGAAATCAAAAGTGTAAATAAGGACCAAACTTTATAACATATTGGGAAATGAGAAGACAATGTTCAAATGAGAAGCAAGTAAGGGAGGCAGGGGTAAGGAAGGAAAAGATAAAAATAAAAGAGATTAGAAGGAAGAAAATGGAAACAGGCCTGGGGATTTAGCTCGGTGGTGCCGCCACCTGCCTCACAAGCATAAGGTCCTGAGTTCAATCCCTAGTACTCTCCCCGCCAAAAAAAGGGAAAAAAAGCTTTTGTAATAAGGATGGGAAATGGGGTTGAAGGAAGAGGAATAGGAAAAAAAAGGAAGCAAGAAATTCCCTATGATGTATTACAAAAAAAAAAAAAAAAAAGACAGAAGGAAAACAAAACAAACAAACAAACATGCACGCACATGTGTGAAGAGAAAATAAGCAAAACACAGTCAGATGAATAAATGTGGGAGATCAAAAGTGAAGGGCATGTAAGAATTTTCTACAGTTCTCCAACATCATTATATGTCTGAAATAATTGACATACTTAACAATTTGGCCCTATAACTTTCCCTTGGAAACTTATTCTGAGGAAATCTTTTTTTTTTGGTACCGGGGGTTGAACTCTGGATCTTGAGCTTGCAAGGTAGGTGGTGGAACCACTGAGCTAAATCCCCAGCTTTGAGGAAATCTTAAAAGAGGCAAAAGAATGATATACACAAAGTGTTTTCTGAAATGAAATTTGTAGCAGAACCAGGGAATGGGAGACGATTTATGTCAACAAGATAAATGGTTAAGGAAGTTGTCTAGCTATGACCTGCTATGTGACCCTGTATAACAAGCCTGGGCTTTTTGTCCACTTAGTAAGCATTTAAAATAACAGCTCTTCACTTAAACCCAGTCTCATACAAAACCATTTTGCTTTCAAATATAATTACATTTTTTCCCTTTTTCTGGTACCAGGGATTGAACTCAGGACCTTGCACTTGCCACGCAGGTGTGGTGCCACTGAGCTATACATCCCCAGCCCCTATAATTACATTTAAAATAAGTGTATCAAGCTAGATATTAGTGATGCAGACCTGTAATCCCAGCACTCAGGAGGCTGAGGCAGGAGGAACACAAGCTCAATCCCAGATTGGGTATTTACAAGGGGTCATCAAAATATACAGTGAATGTATACATTTTATAAGTTTATCCCAATGAAAGACACACTGCCAATAACCACCCTCAAACCCTCCCCACTCCCTTAGAACACATTTATCATTCTTGTCACCTTCCAGAGCAGCTCTTTCCTGAGTGTCTTTACAAGGTGTGATCAGAAATATAGTGAATACTGCTGCCAAGTGCCATCCAACAGATAGGCAGGCTGTGAAAACAGTGTGGGGCTGGGGACTTAGCCTGCCTCGCAAGCGCAAGGACCTGAGTTCAATCCTGGTACCAGGCAGGGGTGGGGGACAGGGGACATTACAGTGTATCCTCATCCATTTTATTCACCAGATCTGCACTGTGTAATTTTGGCTCTTGCTCAAAGTCAAGTGACCATGAAAGGCAAATGTTTTAATTGACTGAGGACATCAAGGCAGCCACAACAGCAAAACTAAAGACACTCAGGAAAAAGGACAACTCCAGAGCTGCCTCAGAAGGTGGCAAGAGGCTATGGTGGCTTTTCCTCAAGAGCCCATCCTGCATCTTCCAAGACTTTTATCTTGCTTTTTCCCCTTTTACTCAGCCAAAGATCACTTTGCAGAGCCTGTAGCTCTCTCACTCTTCAACTTTTAATTTTTCAAATAAACTTTACTACCATTAAAAAGGGAGGGGGCAGGGATTCAGCTCAGTGGCATAGTGCCTGTCTGGCAACCGCAAGGTCCCAAGTTCAATCCCCTGTACAGAGGAGTGGGGTGGCAAGAATGACGGGATAAGTGTGGTGTTTTTTTTTGGTACTGGGCATCGAACTGGGGACCTTGCGCTTGCAAGGCAGGTGGCAGCACCACTGAGCTAAATCCCAGCCCAGGATAAGTGTGTTTGAAGCAAGAGGGGTTGTATTTTGATGGGGATTATGGCAGTGTGTTCTTTATTGTAATAATTTTTAAAATTTAAACATTCTTCCAGGCGCGTGATGGCACGTCTGTGAGCACATAATTCAAGAGGCTAAGGCACTAGGATCGCCAGGAATTTGAGGACAGTCTGAGCAACATAGTAAGTTCAAAGACAGTCTGAACTATATAGTAAGATCCTGCTTCAAAAGAAAAAAAGTTGCCGGGGATTTAGCTCAGTGGTGCTGCCGCCTGCCTTGCAGGCCCAAGGACCCGAGTTCAATCCCTGGTACCAAAAAAAAAAAAAAAAAAAGGGGAGCCAACCCGCCCCACAACTTGATGCCACCCGCCTCACAAGCACAAGGACCAGAGTTCAATTCCCAGTACCAAGGGGGGGGGAATATTGATAAGAAAATAATAAATTTAAACATTCACACCTTTTAAGTTCTTAGTGAGACCCTGTCTTATAAAGTTAAAAAAAAAAAAAAAAAGCTGGGGATGTAGCACAATGTGAAGCCCAAACTGAATCCCCAGTACCATCAGAAAAAGAAAAAAAAATTTTTTTTTACAACAGTCTACTAGTCTAAGGGACCTGCTATTCCTTGTAGAGCCTCCATATTAAAGAGGGAAAAATTGGGCTGGGGATTTCACTCAGTGGTTCTGGTGCCTGCCTCGCAAGCGCAAGGACCCAAGTTTGATCCCCAGTACCACACACACAAAAAAGAATACACAAAGAGGGAAAATTTACACAGTCAAACCGGGTAGGGTGGCACATGCTTGTAACCACAGCACTTGGAAGGTTGAGGCAGGAGGACGTCTGCAAACTCAAGATCAGCCTGGGATATAGAGAGAGACCCTGAATCAATCAATCAATCAATCAATCAATCAGTAAAATCATAGTAAAAAACTCACACTGTCAGCATCTTCCATCCAGGTGTGCTTCCGATCTTCTTCTTCAATCCCAATCCCAATCACGGCACGCATGACTGCTTGGCAGGTGGCCACACTCCCTGCCCTGTCACACTCCTCAGCATCCTAGAAGAGGGACACAAAAATTCTGAATTTTAAATTTTAACATCAGAGCTGCAGGTGATTGAAAAAGGTGGGGCTGCAGATGTAGCTCAATGTTGCTTGCCTAACACATGTTAAAGCCCTGGGTTTGATGCACAGTACTGCAAAAAACAAAAAAGACCAGGGCGTGGTAGCAAACACCTGTAATCCCAGCACTCAGGAGGCTGAAACAGGAGGATCACTGTGAGTTCGAGACCAGCCTGGACTACATAGTGAGTTCCAGGTCAGTCTCAACTACATAGTGAGACCCTGTCTCAAAAAAAAAAACCCAAACAATGGGGGCTGGGGATTTAGCTTAGTGGTTCCAGCACCTACCTCACAAGCTCAAGGACCTGAGTTCAATCCCCAGTACCAAAAAACGAAACAAACAAGAAATAAGCCATTCCTGGATGTAAGAACAAGAGGTACGTCACGTCACAAGTATGCAGCATGGCAGCCCTGACATAGCTCAACTGCCTGTGTTTGTCTTGGTCACTGATGTATCTGTCCCCACAGCCAGCACATAAACATGATAAATATGAGAACTGAGTAAAAACATACCCATCCATGTAATACATTTTAAGGAACCACTGTGTATAAAGGGTTTTATTATGCCATGCAGTGGCAGTAAGAGTTCTGTTCACTAAAAACGTCCATAGTAGGAGTAAAAGACAAGTTCAAAAACACTTGTATGTGGGGCCAGAGATTTAGCTCAGAGGTGGTGTGCCTACCGCACAAGCGCAAGGTCCTGAGTTTCAATTCCTGGTACCGGGGGAAAAAAGTTGTATGTGTTAAACTAGACTTCAAGAATCAAGGGCTGGGGATTTAGCTCAGTGGTTCTGTCATCCACCTCGCAAACACAAGGACCCAAGTTCAATCCCCAGTATCAAAAACAGAAACAAAATAAAACAAACAAACAAAAATAATCAAAACTAGTGGGCCAGGGATTTAGCTCAGTGGTTCCACTGCCTGCCTCACAAGTGCAAGGTCCCAAGTTCAATCGCCAGTACAGAAAAAAAAAAAAAAGAATCAGAGCTGACAGAGCTGGGGATTTAGCTCAGTGGTGCCGCCGCTTGAAATGCAAGCACAAGGACCTGAGCTTGATCCCTGGTACTAAACAAACAAACAAACAAACAAAAACCAAAACCTGGACTGTGTTTTCATCTATGCCATTGGTCTATGAGTCCGGGAACACAAGAATGAAAACTGACAGAAGAAAGCAATGTTGTGATGTAGACAGGCAGAGCTTACGGCACAAGAGATGAAACAGAAACCCTGGGAGGTGGGGCAGACAACACATCACCATGGTATCATGCCAGGCAGGCCAACCAGCAGCAAACCACTCTTGATTTCTGGCAAATAAAATTTGGGATGTACAGATAGAAGCCACACAGAGTTCTACAGCATGAGATGCAGTAATGTCATTAAAGATTTGAGACAATAAAATATCTTGCATTCACATCAATTTGAAAACACCACTGATTTAACAGAGAAATGTTCCAAAGGACATAACCATACAGTTTGCCAGGAAATAAAAATACAAATTTTAAACATATAAAATGAAAGTCAAAGATATTCTTATTGTTATGATGCTAAGCCAGTGAAAGTACCATTTTAGGATCGGCAACACTGAAGCGTGTGCTGACTCAGCAAAGGTAACTATAAATTTAACACTACCAAGGAACACATGATCAACAACCACTACAGAGGGCAAGCTTCACCTCTGCCTTGAAATACAGCACATACTTGTCTGACCCAGCAAGTCTACCTGAAGCAAGTCATCTTACAAGTATATTCCTATGGATTCAACACAATGCACGCACCAGAACACTTCTGTAGTACTGTCTGCAAATGGCAAAGAGAAGAGCTAGTGTGTGCACTGACAGAGGACGGTTAGCCAGTCACAGCAGCAGGTACAGAGCACATGCACTGCCAAGAAGTCCAAGGCACATTGGATATGCCAACAAGGGACCAGGACGAGATTAATGAGCAAGACAGAGTGGGAGCTGTATGCTTCTGGTAAGCCAGTACTCGGGAGGTGAGGCAGGAGGATCACCACAAGTTCAAGGTCAGCTTGAGTTACATCGTGAGTTTAAGGCCAGCCTGAATTAGAGTATGATCTTGTCTCAAAAAAACAGCATCCTATATATAAAGAACTCAAAACAATCAGTCCCCCCAAATATAAAGACCCGATTCAAAAATGGGCATCCGAAATGAACAGACATTTCTCATACAAAGAAGTAAAAGCAGCAAGAAAATATATGAAAAAATGTTCCACATCACTGGTCATTCGAGAGATGCAGATGAAAACAACACTGAGATTCCACCTCACCCCACAAAGAATGGCTGCTATCAAGAAATCACACAATAACAAATGTTGGCGGGGTTGTGGGGAGAAAGGAACCCTCCTCCATTGTTGGTGGGAGTGCAGACTAGTGCAACCACTATGGAAATCAATATGGAGATACCTCAAAGAGCTTGGACTGGAGGTTCCATTTGACCCAGCCATCCCTCTGCTGGGTATCCTTCCAAGAGAACTAAAAGAATCATATCACAGAGAAGTATGTGCATCCATGTTTATAGCGGCACAGTTTGTAATAGCTAAATCTTGGAAACAACCTATTTGCCCATCCGTTGGAAACTGGATAAAGAAGTTGCGGTTTTTCTATAAAATGGAATATTACTCAGCCATAAAGAGCGAGAGAATAGATTCATTAATAGGAAAATGGATACATATTGAAGATATACTCCTAAGTGAAATAAATAAGTCACACATGTGTAAATACCAAATAGTTTCCCTGGTGTGAATATTCTGCAACAATGCATAAGATTCTAATAAGATTACTGACATTTAGAAATTTGAAGAAAGGAGCTAGAGGTGAAGGGAAGGTGTGATACGTAGGGGAAGAACAAAAAGGGAAAAGAAAAAAATGTGAGAGAATGAAAAGATGAAAATAAAGTGTTTGTAGATGGGGAGGGGAGGAGGGGGTGAAGGGAGGGCAGAGGTAAGGGGAAAAAATGAGAATCAAGACTTGCCATGTAAAGGTACATGATCCCAACAATGAATGTAACTGTACTGTATCCCTAAAATGTACCAATAAACTCAATAAAATTAAAAAAAAACAGCATCCTAGCAGACGGTAGGGCCAAGGGCAAAGATCAAATATGGGGTACACGTAACACAAAGGCCAGCAGTGAGGACACAAGTAGCAAAAAGAGTAAGGTGATAACACTGAGCCCAGACCCTCAAGGCCTGTAGGGCACACCAGGGCATGGGTATTTACCCCACGTAAGGCAGAGGCTCTGGGGGACATTAGCTGGCATGCTGAGATTTATTTCAAATCACCCTGGCTGTTGGAAACACCAAGGAGCACTGTGGTGATGATCAGTCTCAGGTGGCAGCTGTCACCTTGGCTCTACAAGGAAAGGTAGAACCAGAAAACTCTCTATGGTGTTAAAGAAAGGACTCAGAGATGACACCCAAGGTATGAGCTGGCCACAGAGGTGAGACTGAGGGACGAATTGTTTCCTGAGTGTTCTGAAGGAAGCAGTGTTGTCACACAGCTAACAGGAGCATACAGGGTACGGTACACATTTGGGAGTTCCTGGAATGTAAAAACTATTCCAAGCATGAGCAAGCACAGAAAATTCTAGAAAGGGGGCTAAGGGTAAGATTGACAATTTATTTAGAAATTGAGAAAAGAAAAACCAGCAAAGGAGGCAGAAAAAGACCAGCAAGACAAAACAAAAAACAACAAATACTGGAAGGAAACAATGTAAGTGGCAATGGAATAGAGACCCTTTGATCTGTGAAGCGGAGGCTGGAAGCAACTCTTACAAGGTTTTCAGTAGTGCAGTGGGGTCAAAGCCTCATTAGAGTAGGTTCTGGAAAAAAATGATTTTACTGCACATACGAAGGACCTAGGTTTCAAGCTCCTTATGAGACTCTAATACCTGATGATCTGAGGTAGCATATAGGCAGTGATGTTAGACCTGGGGAGTGGGTGAAAATGTAGATTGACATTAGCAGAGAGGCCGGACAGCACAGAAACCACAATAAGTCAATTCTTTGCAGACTCAATCAAAATTCTTTCAGTGATGGGTGTGGTGGTGCATGACTGGGTCAGGAGGATTGCAGAGGAGAGTTCAAGGCCAGCCTGGACGCAAGAGTACTCAAAAAACAAAAAACAAAACAAAACCTTTTCAGTAAGTGGCAAGTGACAAATAAGCCACATCTGCTGGCAGGCTTCATGTCAGAATCCAATACTCACTGAAGTATGCACGGCCCACCCACCGTTTTATTTACCACCTCTATCCACGCCTCCTGCCTTCACTGCACACTTGTCTCAGTTTTGGTACTCCACAAGCTAACTGTCATCAAAATGGATGAAAACAAGGGCCAGAGATACAGCTCGGTGGCAAGTGCCCACCCTGCAAATACAAGGTCCTGAATTCAATCTCCTGCTACTGAGAAAAAAAAAAAGAAAAGAAAAGCAGCAGCCCACTCATCCTTTCTGCATTGACTGGGTGCATGATGCTGAAATTTTGTCATCACCACCCAAATATTTTCTCATTGATTGAAACTGACATGCTAAGAGGATTGTATCTAAAGGAAGATTTAGGGTGACTTGCAGAGATCCCAAGTAAAATCATGTCTGAAGGGAAGGTTTTATGTTGGGAGACCAGTTTTCATTATAGAGCTTCCTCCCATTACTTTCATCCCCACGGAAACAAGCATCCACCTGAATTCCCCACAATCTCCAGCAAATGTCAAGGAACTGAACTTCCTAGAGGGGCTGCCTGATGGAGATGAATCACAGTGGTCCCTTGAAATAGTGATCACTGTTTATATTCAGCCTTGGTTACTGTACACATCCAGATGTGATGTTTCCTCATAATCTGTTGACAGATTTGAATGGAAAAAAAGCAACACACACCCAAATCATTATCATCATAGTCTGTGATGTTGCCATTAGGACTGATCA